AGGAAAGCGGAGGCCGACTATTCGCGTGATTTGGGGGTTTTATTGTGGGAGGGAGGAAATCATCTGTTTGTAAATGTGTCTCACTCCTCGTCTTCCTCCTGTTAAATTGCGGCCACCTCCTCCCTTATTAATTTTAATCGGTGTGTGTGCCCTCTAACCCGGCCTACCTCTCGGGGAAGTTTTTCCCACTTGCTTGCCTTTAGAAGACTCAACGGTCAACTTTCCCGTCGGCCGTTTCTCGAGGGGGCAACCGAAATCTACGGAGAATCCGGGGCAGCGAAAAGGCCAACGCCTTCAAATCGGGGGCCCCTTTATGGTAGGCAGGGTTCTTCTGCCCCGAGGGCTGGGGAGTCTCTCTCTGGCCACGTGCCAAGCGCGTTCCACTTTCTAGCGACACGTCAGCCCTAATAGGGCACAGGAGGCCCACGCGCGACTCTGTAAAGCTTAGCCTCGGGCAGGACTCGCTTTGAAGGTTCGAGTTCAGATCGGAGACTTGCAGCTCGGGACTAAAAGAGCGCAGTTGCTCAGAACTAGTTTCAGGTCGTGCTGAAGCCCAAACCTTGAACGAAGGATTACAATCCTAAACCTAAAACATAATTCTAAGCAAAAGAAAGAAATGGCAAATGCGTGCACACACACACACACACACACACACAATCAAAACAGAGACCTAGCTGAGACGGGACCCCAGCCCTTCAGTACAAACCCACCCCTGACTTATTGCAGAGGGTCTCACCCAAGGCTGGCAAGCGGCTGACTTCCCTGCAACCTGCAGGGGTCGACAGAGCGAGGGATCGGGTGAGACCCGTGACCGACCGACCGCCCCCCTTTCCCTCGCGCAGAAGATCCTCTGCACCAGCAAAGGCGGACGGTGGGCACGAAATTCGGGGCCCTGCCGGGCAGCGAAAGGGGCTCCCGGGGCCGCCGTCAACTCACCGACGCACTCGTTGGCTTCTCGGGCGGTGGCCCTCTGCCAGGGCCGGTCGTAGTGGAAAGGCTTGCAGCGGTCGCACTCGGGCCCGGCGGTGTTGTGCTTGCAGTCGCAGACCAGGTGGTCATCACGGTCCCGGACGCAGCGGGAGGCGTGCCCGTTGCACTTGCAGCGGCCGCCCACCTGCAGGTCGGAGACGGCGTAGTAGTAGGAATCGCGGGCCAGCTCGGAGTCGTCCTCGTTCTCGTCGCCGAAGGTGTGGAGGCGGCTGAAGACCACCCGGATGTCGGTGGCCGTCACCCAGTCCTGCAAGACGGGCGAGTTGTCGAAGTCGTGGGCCGAGGGCCGGCCGTCGAGGGTGCTGAAGGCGATGAGCCCGCCGCTCAGGGGCCGCATGTCGGTGTGCGAGTCGGTGCAGATGGCCTCCTGCTCGTTCTGCTTGGTGATGGCGGCGCGGCTGGGCTTGTTGTACATCTTGCGGCACTGCGTGGAGTAGAACTGGAAGGGCACCCAGCTCTTGCCGCCGTCCATGGACTTGGCGATGGCCATGGACTCCGGCCGCGGTGAGCAGAACTGCAGGCTGACGTAGGTCACCTCGAACTTTTTGCCCAGCGCCAGCACCAGCGTCACGTTGAGCGGGTGCTGCACGAAGCTCTCCGACTGCCAGCAGGTCAGGTTGTGCGGGTTGTTGAGGTCGGTCAGGTAGGAGGCGGGGTGGGCCCGCTTGGGGTCGGCGGCGTCGCACAGGTGGCAGCTGCGGCTCCGCTCCTCGCCCTTCTCGGCCAGCACGCAGTAGCGCGACTGGGGGCGGCCGCAGGTGCTCGACACCTTCACCTCCTTGCCGAAGGCGGCGTTGACGAAGTCCGGGATGCAGCGCCGCGGCTGCCCGTTCTCGTCGTAGCAGGGATCCGGCTGCGGGGCCGTCTGCACGGCGAACATGTTCAAGCCGTAGCCGCCGCGCACCCCTTCGGCCAGGCAGGCCACCGCCGCCAGGGCCACCAGGGCCTCCCAGCCCGCCGGGGACATCCTGCCTGCCTACCTGGTGGGCGCTGAGGGAAGGGAGCCTGTGGAGAGAAAGGAGAGAGCGCGGGTCAGCTCCCGGAGCGCTTGGACTCCCCCTGCCCCACCCCACCGGCCTTGGCGCCTCGACGCTGACCGTCCAGGAGAACACGCGTGTTTGGGCAGACCTCCCGGCTGTCCTAGCAGTGAAAGCCTCCCTGGGGCTCGTCCGGGGGGAGAAAAGGGGGTGTAAACCTGCCTCGGAGGACGAGCGGCCCAGCGAGTGGGGGTGCTTGAGTGACAGATGCTATAGTCCGCCTCAGTTGAAAAGGCCGCTTTGGGAGCCGTAAGTAGGCCCACTAGTCACGCGGGGCTTTCTCTCTGCTCAGTCTTCCCCCCTCCCCTCGGGTTTCTCCCCTCGCGCCAAGTCAGCGCCAGCCCGCCTCGCATCCCAGTGAGGATCCCGAACCTAGTTGTGCCGTTGGCGAAGCCAGAGTTGGATAGGCTCACACAAACTAGCCCCAATTTGTATTCGAGGCCCGGGGAAACCAAGCCCAGGAGTTCAGGGCAACTACTTGAATCTTCTCACGTTTCAGAGCCGCTGTTGTCCTCTGCCATAAGGTGATACATAAACACATATGAATTAAAGCGGAGGGGACCTTTGAAGGACTCCAAAGGGCTCCCAAGCATTTGGGGATTTATTGTCTACAACTTGGACCTCCTTTTTGTAGATAGCTGCTCTCTCAGGAGAATGAGAAAAGTAAGACAAACCTGTTGACCTACCGCGGGAGCTTAACACCCCAACATCCTCCTGAGTTTCGGGGAATAGGAGCCCCCTCCGCCAATGCGCGGCAATCTCCACAGGGCACCAGGGAAAGCGCACCTAATTCCCTCAGCTTTTCCCTCGCGCAACCGGTTTTGAGAGGGCATGTGGGCGAAACTGTAGTGACAAAATCCCTGTCAGGGAGATAAAGATCGAATGGAACGAACCGATTGGAAGGTTTTTACTACTGTGGGCTCGAAAAAACCATTCTGGACGACTCCAAAGACCTTGGCTCTTAGCTTGTCCAGCAGCCTTGGGCTTAGACTCAACCAATGCTTATGATGAGAGGGTCGTGGGGTCCCTTTTCTTTTACCTTCACTTTCCGAGAACGTTGCCCCGAAGAGCTGGCTCTTGCAATCGAGTCCCCTGTTTTTGTGAGGACCGACTGGATCCCAAGATCACAGCAATGAAGCTACACTGCCAAAGTTGGGACTCTTTGCCTATATACACCCAACCACAAATTCTCCAGTCCTATTTAAGCCTGGCGGAGGGGAGAGGGTGGGACGCAACTCAGAGCTTCGGTGTGGCACAACTACCCAGGCAGTTGGGTAACATTAAGTGAAGCAAGATCTCATTATCCAAGGATCGGCGATCCTCGTGGATTCGCCTATCACGCTAAGTCAAAATGGGATTTGGGTAACCCAGGACTTAACACTCTGCGTGTGAAGCAAGGCCTTAAAACATGGTAGACCAATAGTTGATTAAACATCTAAAGGCTTAGCACTCTGGAGAAACCCGCTTCTCGTGAGTAATCGGAACTTTTTCTTAACGGAGCGCTTGAGATATTGCACTGCGCGAGAGGAAGCCGTTTCTCTTCCACCAAAAGGATTTCCTGGGGTTTCCCTCCGCAAAAAAAAGGCCTTTAAGGTCGCAGCCTGAGCGTGCACAAACCTTCTGCTGGGAATTGGTCCCCAGTTGGTGCAAGCAGTCAAAGAATGCAAAGGTTGGGCTCCCATTCACGCTGGCGAAGCGGCAATTACCTGCCACCCAGATCTACCACCGACGGAAGAAAGGCAAGAATGGGGCGGGGAAGCCAGATCTTAGCCGTCCCCGCAGCCCCGCCCCGCACAATCAGTTCAAGTCCAGACTCCCGAACCCTACTAGTCAAACAAGCGCCGGTCCAAAGCCCATTTGGGGAGTGGGTTTGATTTCCCAATGAACCAATGCAAGGGCAGATCCAAGCAGGAGGAGAATCTTGAAAGGTTCGGGGAAAAAGTCCCTGTGTGCCCAACCTGGAGAAATTTGCGAGACGGGAAGCCGTTGCCAGTGGCTCTCATGTTATTTCTTCGGCCTCAGCCGGAGAAAGAGCCCGCGCGGCTAGAGATGCGCCGGAGAAGTTGGAAAGCGGCGAGAAGTGCTCGTCCGTCTTTTGGCAGGAAACGTCGGTCTCGCTCCAGTCGGGCAGCCAGACTCTCGCTCCCTTCAGGTAGCGGTCAGCTGGCCTTCCCACCCCGGAGCCCGCCCTTAGCTGCCCCCGAGAGCAAAGGAGCCGCCCGCCCCGCTCTCTTCCGCCCGCTGCTGCCTGCGGGACAGCTCCCTCCTCCGGCCTGCCTCTCGGGCTCCTTCCCCGAGCTACCTTGGCTGCAGCTGGTCGCTCGCTTCCTCGGCGGTGGCGCGGGCAGCCGCAGCTCCAGGCGAGCTGGAGACTCTCAGGGGTCTCGGTCGGTGCCCATCGCGCTGTCCCAGCGAGTGGCTAGGCTCCGCGGGTGTCGGGAGCGTGTGAGGCGGCAAACTCGGGGCGAAGTTGAGGTCATCCCGGAGGAGTGACACCCCGTGGGCTCGCGCGGGGGAAGAGAAAACGACATCCACTGGCGGGATGGCAGCTCTCGCGACGGATGGGGCGGGGAGCGGTGTGTGCGGGAGGGGGCAGGGAGCGAGAAGGGGCGGCCCCGGCACTCGTGCACTTGCGAAAGGGAGGGGGAGGAGCTGTGGGGAGGAGGAGGCGGAGCCGGAGTGGCCCAACGGGGCAGGATCAGGCTTGGCCTGTAGACTTCCTCATCAACATCAATCTGAACTGTGTGGGACAGAGAAGATCCCCTCGCAAGAGCCAAGTGAGAAAAAGAGAATGGCCAACGTCCCTCGTTCTAGCATAGCAGAAAAGCCACGCTTTTGCTTTATAGCAAAGAATCTCCATCCCTGCATCCTCGTTAAGACGGCGTTTCTTTCTGACCCAGGGCCGAAACATTCTGACGCTTCAAAAAAGAGACTGGACTGTAGTGAAATTCAATTTTTTTAACTACCTGTTCTGTGGGCGTGGCTTGGTGAGTGTGGCAGGGGAAGGATCTCCCTTCCCACCCCACTTCTGGCGCTAGCCAGAGGTGGTATTTGCCGAGCTACTCAAAATTTCCGCTACCGGTTATCCAGAACCTGTTAGAACCTGCTGAATTTCACCCCTGGACTGGACAACCTTTTGGACTGGAATGGGATAGGGTCTCCTACTTGAGCAAGGGGGTTGGACTAGAAGACTTCCAAGATCCCTTCCAACTCTGTTATTCTGTTGTGCTCAAGTGGAGAAATTGGCTGGCAAGACGCTAAAATAGGCGGTGAAGGAGCGAAGAGTTCAGTCGCAGCTGGGTGCTGCGGAGCTATATAGTGTTTGCTCCTGCAGAGCATTTGGAATGGGGGGGGGGCGCTTCTTTTGGAAGATCTTCGACCCTCACGGGGCTACGCAGACAGGGAGAAAAATCCACACCCCTCCCTCGCTGTTCACTCCCGAGTGTGTCCAAAAGATTCACTTCTCTCCCTTATCGGCGTTCGCACACACATACCTAAAGTCTCAACCTTTTTGTCTCAAATCAGTGCTGCCAAATTTCCCATCCCGGCACGAAATATTTAATGAAAGACTCGGCGAAACGAAACATGCAGTTAGCAGCCTGAGGCTTTATCTCCAAATATATGAAACGTTTGCTGCTTAAGAGAGACTCTGAACCTGGGATTCAAGGTTGTCTGTGCAAGCTAAGTGGAAATGGGAGAACTTTTCCTCCATCTGGTGATCTTTCTTCCCCTCTTTCAATATTTAAAGCAGCGTTCCAAGCCTTGAAAACTGCTGGCACATGTTGACATTTGAAAACGGGGCTCCTGTTGTAATAATTTAGCTGGTGTGCATTTAATTCTATGGAAACAATGCAGTGCGGCTCTTCTTGCCTTGCCTCACTTGTGTGCCATGGCTGACTTCATAGTTTCATAGATTCCCTGCTATTCTTGTTAGCCTGTCACCCACCTCTCATAACAGGATCCATGACTTTTGGTCAAGAAGAAAGTCTTGCACTTCTATTCTACATGAAGTGACATCATCAGAAAAATATATATGTTTAAATGCATAGAGGCAGTTTTTAATATTGTCACTTCGTATTTATTTTTATTTTTTTAAAAAATGAATGTTGGGTTGACCATAGATGGAAGAGGCTATAAAACGTAATTCCTGACTCCTGCAGGAATTCCCCTTTACACTAGAATGGTAATGTATAGAACACCAAGTGAATGCTATTCCCTTGAGGCTTATGGAACAATTGTTTCCACAAGTTTGCAAACCAGTTCAAGCTCTATACGAAGTTTGACTCAGGCCCTGGAAGTAACATTTAGACTCTTAGTAATGCACTCTCCACTTGCATTCAAGTCCTTTTTTCAGACCTAGATTTTTTAAATCAAACCAGCCATTGGATAAAAGTGAACAGATCTAACCAACCCAATGAACTAGAACTTGGAATATGTGTGGGAAACACCCTCTTCTATGGACATAGGCTTTGAGATGAGTGCATTGCCTTTTAAGATAGATTGGGCACCTCTGTCTTCAAAGGAAGTGCACTCCTCTCAAAGCCAACACTTCTCCTTATCTGGTCAATAGTCTTCTACAGTAGGAAGTCTTCTACAGTACACTGCTTGATCAACGGGTAACAAAAGATATAGAACTATAGATCAGATTCTCACATGGTCCTGAAAAAGAATAAGGTTTGGTCTTAGTATAGGTTAACCAAATCAAGATTTAGCACTGTTTGAGCACACTAGTAACACCTGAGAATTGAGGAAGCCTTACATTTAAAGCAAACTTAACTACAAGAGATTAGGTTTCCACTGTACTAATGTTGATAGATAGATAAAACTGATAGATTCTAACTAGTCCACTAACAGATGCAGAAAATAAATTCCTAGAAGGAAGAAACCTCTAATAGAATTCATGAAGGCTTACATTTTTTTTTACCAGCCCCAGCTTTGGAAATTTAGAACCTCTTCAATCAACACAACTCTACATGAAGTTAAATAATGAAAAGAAGGTGGAGTGAGATCAACAGTAAGTTAGAACTGCTCAGGAAGTATATCCAGTGATTTTTTTCCTGCGCAAATCTCAAAAGGGTGCAACTGCATACAATAAATGAAGAGTGACAGTTCATTGCAATTGTTGGAATTGACTACCAGAGGACAACTGGGAGTGAAGTGGTAGTTGCAACTACTCTTTCTCAGAAAGCACCAGGTGTAAAGAAAACATCTCTCGCTGATTTGGAGCTGTGAGTTATCTGACAAGTGGAAAATCTTCTGTAAATCTAATTGAATGATCAGGTGATATACTGGAGAAATCTGAATTGTATGAAGTTTCTTGGAGCTAGAACAGCTAGTAAGCTCAGGTCTATTATTTTGCTGAGGACAATCAAATCTCTGAGTTGCACCCAGTTATTTGACACTCCAATGTGGGCACTCTAAATTATCTTTAAAGCAAACAAAAAAAAAACAAACCTAAATAAGTTCCCAGTTGTATCCCACATTTCCCCCCTTCAGCTTGAGATGTTCCCCAGCACCAGCTATGAATTAATTCATGAACTGCAGAAACAAAGTAGTGGAGGAAAAATCCAGAAAAAGAAGTAAAATGGAATGGAATCATTTCCATGGGAAACATGCTGCACAATCCTAAACTGCAATTTCTCCTTAGACGAAGGTGCATTGATATAAGGAGATTTATTTGTACATACATAGGAATTAGTTGAGAAGCTGAAGTATGTATTCTGTCATAGCCTGCTTTTTTTTAAAGTTCCTAATTCTTTGAATAGCTTTTGAATTGCGTTGATCAAACACGTCTTTCTTGGTTGTATATCTCATAACAAAAATAAGATTTATTTTCTTTAGAGGAAATAAACTGTTTTGTTAAAACAACTTCACTTTCTTTCTTGCTCTAGGGATCGAGATCCCCCCTCCCCATCAGCCTTTCTCCAGAAACCTGTTTCAGCCTCACCCAGCATAAGATGACTGCATACAATATTGCAAGACTTTTATTTACACTTCCCTTCCCTTCTCTTTCCTTTCCATTCCATTCCTATTGAATTCCAAATTCCAGCACATGCTTAGCTTCTTCCCAAATGATTATTTTTTAGAATCTGGGATTATATATATACATATATTCACATACACATACACACATACACACATACACACATACACACAAACACACAAACACACATACACACACACACACACACACATACATACATACATTCACAGCTGTAGAGGTTAAAGCTGAATGTTGCTTTTAATCTCGATGAAAAGTGATGACAGCCAACTGAAAGCTGACACTAATATTTCTGTTCTTATTTTGATTAGCTACAATACCCAAAAGGGTTTTTACGTTTAAAAGAATTTGACATTATTCTGTTTATGAACAAAGTTCACACCGAACCAGAATTACAATTCTGTATCCTCTTTCTCCGGATATTTGCAAATTCCATCCCGATTGTGTCCACGGTAGCATTTTTAACAGACTATTTCAACCACTTGGGCAACCGTGGACACGAAAGGGCAGGTTCTACCACCAATATGATTCCTCTATCCTACGGCTTTCCTTTATCCAGATTGCGGACAATCTATTGTTTCATTTGGGAGGCGATGGTACCTTTTTGCGATCAATTCCAGCAATATTCAATTGATACCTGTAATATCTTTAGAGCTAAATGTCTCCTAAGGAATTAATGCCCGAAGGAGCTCTATCACGCCCCTCCGTCCCCGCCTCCTTCTTCTTCTTACGGCTTTAAAATGTTTGCCGGGTCTTTAAACCTGAGCTCAGCAAGCTTCCCGCTCTCCTTCAAGGGCATTTTCCAGATTTCCTTAGCTGAAGCTTCCAATGGCGCTCTCTCTCTCTCGCTCGCTCTCTCTCTCTCTCGCTCGCTCGCTCTCTCTCTCTCTCCCCCTCTCCCCCTCCCCTTCCCCCTCCCCCCTCTCGTTTATTTCCTCCGCTTAAAGTAGAGCGTCCGCGTCCGTCTGCGACCGGGAAATATGGGTGATTTGTTTAGCTGAACCGCGAATATGAGAGGTTTAAGTTCTCGGAGTTGGTAACGGGTTCCACCCCAAAACCAAAAAAAAAGAAACCAGAAACGGACTTTCATTCTAGGTTAGCGGGACTGGTTCCTAGCCTACCTAGCCTATTCTATTCTGCTTGTGCCTGGTCGTTCGGATGTCCCAATCCCCCCTCCCTCCGCAATCAAGTCGCCCCAGGATTGGGTGTAGGGTTTTTTTGTTTTTGTTTTTTTAAGGAAAGAAATGAGATTTTCTCTTGCTTAAGAAGATTCTCAGTATCCAGCTCATGGTGAGCCCAAAGGTGCTTCTCCCACCCCCACCCCCTCACCCCAAGGGCAGCTGGACTTCGTTTTTCCAAACACAAAATCAAGTTGCTTTTTGAAAAAGCATTATTTGGGATGAGATTTCTCCTTTTACCTTGCGTTCCCCTTTAGTGATAAACTCCTAAAATTGAGGCGCGAGTTTCCC